ACGAAGTCTGCCTGGAGCCGGGCAAGTGCGTCTGCGCCGAGGGCTATGCCCGGGGACTGCGCGAATCGAATGCCCTCGGCTGTCAGCCTATGTGCATACCCGATTGCGGCTACGGACACTGCGTGGCGCCCAATCAATGCGAATGCTTTCCGGGCTATCAGAAACGCATGAACCGCAGCTCCTGCGAAATCAATTGCTACATGTGAGTACTTAAGTGGGGAAATAATACTCATATTTTAATAATGGGTATGAATATAGGCTGAACCAACAATTCAGGATTCAAACAAATGAAAAGTTTTTATATAGTCAACAATTTGATTTCCAAAAGTTTTTACTATATATTTTATTTTCTTAAATTAAGGGTATCGAAGCAAATTTCATGGTATTTATTATAGTGTAATATTCAAGAGCTTAAAGCAAGAATATAATATACAATAGGCATGATTAACGACAGGTTTTTCAACTTTTCTAATCTTGAATTCAAGCCAATCATTTTTCGTCATTTATATGATTTGGTTAGTATTTAGTTTCGAAAAGGATGTTTATATTTTTTAATATAATATAATACTTTTATTTTATTTTAGTACACTATTACAAATAAATATTGTACAATTGTATAAAATATGAAGACCCTCCATTCACTAAAAATTATATCTTGAATTGTCTTAAAACAGCTTCCAAAGCCGAAAGAATATTTAAGCCAAAGCAGCCTCTCACAACTAATCATATTTTTTAGCTAGTATATCAAAAAGTATATATATGTAGTCTTGAGCAGCCAATCATTCAAGCAATCGAAACTCCAACCTGTGCTACAAACAGATAAAGTTTGCTTAAACCGATCGATAATTAGAAATAAAGACACCCAATTTAGGATATAACTTTCTGTGAGAGTGTATAAAGCTTTAAAGTAATTCCCATTTTGAATACTTCCCCCATATATATCAATAAATCTCATTTGAAGAGCTGCAGACTTGGGTGTTGGTAGTTACGCATATTCGAATTTCATTCCAAAAACGTCGGTCTATAAGCTATAAGCATAGTTACTTGAGAATTGTTTTTAATGGTATATATGCCTCTCTCTCTCTCTCTCTTCCACATAGGCGCTGTGAGAATGGCTTCTGTGCCAATCAAACCACTTGCGTGTGCCAGAACGGTTACCGCTACGATCAGAATACGACCAGCTGTCTGCCGGACTGTGGCGATGACTGCCTGAACGGGGTCTGCGTCTCGCCGGGCAATTGCCGCTGCTTCAATGGGTATTTGCGGAATCGGGAGCGCTGCGATGCGGTCTGCGAGCGTGGCTGCGGCTTTTATGGGCGCTGCATAGCGCCCAATGTGTGCGGCTGTGCGGTGGTGGCCGGTCCCGAGGAGAGCTATCAGCGGTGCGAGAATGGCTACTGTAATGCGGAGGGGCATTGTCGCTGCCTGGAGGGCAAGACGCGCTTCATAGACAAGTGCATGTCCCCGGATACGGTGACCACCTACGCCTCCATCAATCCGTTGCGGGTGAATGCCTCGCTAATGCACGAGTTCGAGCTCCTGTTGGGCAGGCATTTCATACTGGGCGCTGCTGGCATGATCGATTCAAACAGATGGTGGGTCTAGGCTGGCGATAATAATATTCTACATCCCATATATATTCTCAAAATAAATTGTATTTACAATTTCGATGTCAAGCACAAAGAAATTGTTGGCTTCAAATTGAAATGAAATGAGCTTATCAGTGAGCCATGGGCGTAGCTATGGGGGGCCCTGTATTTGGACTCTGCATGATAAACACTTTCTGACGGTTCCACTCTGTAGTTACACAGCTTGCCACTTGCTGTTCCTTGTTATTTATATTTTATTACAAAAACCCCCTTTTCGCTACGCCACTGCTCATAATATATACGAAGATCAGTTCTTTAAAAGCAGAGCTTAACACGAGCGCAGCTCAGTAGCTCGATAGCCCCGCGATCGCAAGTGTATTATCTCCAGAGAGAGAGAGAGAGAGAGAGAGAGAGAGAGAAGAGAGAAACATGCTCTCGCACATCAAAATTAGTGGCCTGCTGATTATTTGCCTTACATTGTCACTGCCTAGGCATACATTAGGCCAATTCTGGAAACTGAGTCAATATGAGAACTGGAAGCGCGAGATGCTGGCGAGCCGTGAGTCGGGCATCTGCTACAAGACCCAATTGTAGATATACCCAGTCGAACTAAGCCTGCCAACGATCTCAAGATCATATATACATATATATTTACAGTGTTAATACTTTGAATCCGGAGCTGAGGCAACGTCAGATCTCATATTGCTGCGATGGCTATGTGAATCGCGGCAGTTCCGAAATTCTGAAATGTGAGCCCATCTGTGCGGAGGATTGCGCTCACGGTATATGCCTCTCGCCGGGATACTGTGAATGTGCGCCAGGCTATAATAGAGAACGGGCACAGTGCCGCAAACATGGCGATTAAAACTGTAAAGAAAAACTAAATAATAGTCTTCCATTAAACCAAAATTTGTTAATGTGTTAAAAAGTCTTATAATCTGTTTTTTTTAAGTTCCAACTATCTTTTGGTAGCGGATCTCTTAACATTAATACTCCTCTACTAACATTTGGCTGTCATTAAGCATTATAAAGCGTTACAGTATATCGTAGTAGGTCAATATTCCAGCGATCTTAGATTTTCAAGCATGCACAGCATACACCTACATACATACATCTAATAGAGTTTTTTTTTTAATATTAACATTTACATTGCGGATAACCATTGCGGATAACACGGCTAGAGAGCATTTATCCAGACAATTGATATTGTAAGTGGTGACAGCGTTAGAAATACTCGTTCATTCTATTCCTGTTTATGCGCCAATGCTATTGATTCCATTACAGCCATCTTATACAAAAGAGAGTTTTTTAAGAGATTTGATTCTAATGTGTTTTAAGCTCACGTCATTAGCGCGTATTGCTTTCGATCCCTTTTTGGATAGCTGGATAGCTGAGCGCATTGTGAATGGTGAGAGCGTGGGGGTAATTTTATCTTAGCTCAGGCGCGGTTTAGTCTGTGCGCGTCTGCTCTGCTAAACGGTTGTGTTTTGTGTAAAGACACAGCCCTTTCTTAGCTGTGGAGTTTACGGCAATGCAATCTCTATTTGACTAACTACTTTTTCTTAATTATTTACCGTATGAAATAAAATTTGTTTTTCATAGTCGTCTGGATGTGTTTCGCATTTCAATATCCGATTGAAATGTAAAGTCTTTACCTTTCGTCTTTTGTTCGTTTATATAATGAAGTAAAGTGAAAATAGAGAATGGATATAAATAATTATATTGTTTTTGGCGTGAGCGTGGGAGAAAATATTTCGACAAGCTGAGCTTTTTTTGCCGTTTGCTCTGCAGATTGCAGCTGCTAAGGCTACTATAAATGAAATGAACGGGTACTCAACCAAGAGCCATTAAGCAAAGAGCGACCATGTAAATGACGTGCCCCTGAAAGTTACAATTCTTGTAATTGTGTTAGTGTAAACGCCGGCCTTCTGTAAGAACGAGCCCATGGCGCGGATTTAGTCTGTGTGCGTCTACCTGGTTAAACGGTCGCAATGCCTGCAAGTGCAATCTGATCGTGCTGTGTGTTTGTTAATATATCTCTTAATATATTATTTCAAATTAAAACTTCATCTTGTTCTCCGTTTTTTTTTTTTGGAGGTATGCCAAGAATTGTCGCTTTGGAAAATAAAAGGCAGTGTGGGGAAGAGAGGCAGTGTGAATGCTCCAAAAGCTTCATTTAACAATGAATGTTGTAGCTAGTTAAATTTGATTTTGTTGAAAATGCTCACAAAGAACATATAACATTATATAGACTTAAATTTTGAAAAAAAAAACACTTTGTTTTGGTATTTATTGGTATTTATTGTTGATAGAATGATTTTATTTGCACAATGTCCACAATCCATCTCAGTCTCTGTTTTGTTCATAAAGTTGACATTGTGGATGATGTGAATGTGGGAGATAATTAGCTTAATGCTTTTATTACAGTTTGTTTTGCATATTGCAGCTGCTTCAACTATTCTGCATGTTATAAGCATCAGTTAATGTAATTGACAGTCCGACTAAGAGAACTTAAGCAAAGAGCGGCCATTCCGCATAACGTGCGTCTGCTAGTTACATTGTATTAATGCAATTGTATTAGTGCATATAACATTGCAACGATTTAGTCTGTGTGCGTCTGCTCTTTTTAATGGTCGGATACCTCGCATGCGTATGTATGGGCTGGTGTTTGTATGTATGTATCAGTATTTTATCCGTTTGCCGTCTGTGTGAGCAAGAGATTGAGATTGAGTGAGTATCGTAGATCTTTTATTGGCAAGCTAATAATTGTCTTCGTTCTAACAATTATCATTGCAAACATGAATTATTGCAAAAAGTCATGTTTAAGTTTTTAGTTAGCAACTTTAAAAATAGGATAGATCTATATTAATATATATGTGCAACTCATATGCACACATTGATCATACTAGTGTGTTGTGATTTATTATTTTTATTTATCGCGAGATAATTGCGAATAATTCAAAGTTTAAAATGCAATAAAAATTTCGTTGGAAAATTTCTAATAATTTAGAGTTGGTTTTTGAATTGTAAGCAGAGTATTGCGCAGTCGGTTGCGACCGATTCAATTGCTCTCACTTGTTATTCTAGATGATTGCCTCATTTGATGATCACTCATCGATTTCTCGGAAGTGCTCAAAAAATTCACTGAATATTGTTTGTTTGCCAGCGGGCAAAATAAAACATTGTTTTCGCTGAGCTTGGCTTAGGCCCTCCAATAACAACAATACAAATAAAATCAGTAATAAACACCAGATGTGAGAGTAGCCTCCAGTATTATTGATAGGCAAATCGCGAAGTGCTGATTATGGCGGAGGTCGGGGATAAGAGACTGGCGCTTGGAGGCTAGAGGCCCGCGATTCGCGATTCCACTGCGAGGCTTTTGAAATTGAATTTAGAAAATTTGCTTAGCGCTTAGTTAAAGTGCAGCAGCTGTGAAGAGCGGACGTGTGCAGTTCATCCTCCGCCTACTTAAACAATTTTACATAGAGTTCCAAGCAAACCAAGTGACATCAGAGATCATGAGCTCATCGTGGCAGCTGTTCAGCTGGGCAGCGCTGATACTGGCTCTCTGCGGTGTGGGCGAGTCGCAGTTCAAGACGGCGGGCATCAAGACGCGTCAACCTGTACAGGTGGCCGGCAATCTACAGCTGTCCAGCAATGCCAGCAGCGAGCAGATCCAGACGCAATATGGCAGCTATGGCAGCTACGCCAATTTTGTGCCCGCCGAGACTTATCAGGGCCCAGCCGGACACTACGTCCAGTCCCTCGACCAGGTGACGCGAGCTCCGCAGGTGCTCGATGAGACGGCGCTGTTCATCAATAAAACCCGTTCGGCTATGGCCAGCGGCATCTGCTACAAGGAAGTTCCGTAAGTATGACAAGTGGAATGTGTTAGGCGCTGCATATTCAAATACATATGTATATACGTAAATTCCCATTGCATGAGCTAGAATTATTATTATCGCGCAGTTCTAAGTAATTGAAAATAGGGCAGCTACACACATTGAACTAACAACCCCGACATCCTCGACTTGCCTGATAATGAAATGCGTCTTCAAGTTTAATTTCATTTGTATAAATATTATCAATTTGTTGTGTTATGTTTATATGTTTATTTATGTCATATTCAAATAACAAATGGGAATAGACCCTGAGCAAAATAATATACATATATAAGAATGGAGCTTAGAAGCTTTTAAAATAAGAAATGCGATATCCCATTGAGTGTTACTCAATGTCTTTAACCGAACTAGTTATACAACAAATGGTATCTTCCCGCAGTTAGTAAAATGTTCACATGTTGGAATCATAGGGCGTTAAAGCTCTTTCAATTTAAGGTGCCTTCCACTTTACTTTACGATTCTCATAAACCCAAGTAGATTCTATCTATCTATTCATACTGAGGGAAGCATTATAAGTTACAGCTAAATGTATATGAGAGTTTTAAGAAGGGTCAATGGCCAATTAAAAATTCCTTCTGTCTTTTACTCTTCTCTATATATGTTTCAACTTGTTATTGACCAAATCTGTGCCTCTTTCTTTTTGTAGAACCGCCTCGTTGTTGCACGGCTCTAGGGAAAAGTATGTTGGCAACGGCACCACCCCGGACCTCAGTCAGATTCAGGTGTGCTGCGAGGGCTACGAGCGCAATCCCCATATTTATCGACGCTGCGAGCCGGTTTGCGAGGACGACTGCCCCAATGGCATATGCACGGCACCCAATACCTGTGTATGCATGCCAGGACATGTGAGAACCGTTGAGGGTAAATGCATCTCCACCTGCCCACTCGGCTGCGGCAATGGCGTGTGCGACGATCAGAACGAGTGCCGCTGCCGTGAAGGCTACACACTGGACCCTGTAAGTCGCAAGTACTGCCTGCCGGAATGTAATCCGGGCTGCACCAACGGCCGCTGTGTGGCGCCCAACAAATGCGACTGCCTGCACGGCTATCGTCGTGCCGCCGATGGCAGCTGTGCTCCCGTCTGCGATAGCTGCGAAAATGGCCAATGCACAGCGCCAGGACAATGCAGCTGCCACTCGGGCTACCAGCAGCTGCAAGGACGCTGCGAACCCGTTTGCGAGCAGTAAGTATGCAATGCCATCCACACTCACAACACCTATCTAAGCAGTCACAGTCCCATATCGCAGTTCACAATAAAAGAAAACGCAGTACCCACATCAAATATAAAAGTCACAGTACCATATAACCCCAGTCTTAGCCACATTCCCATTTCACATTCAGAGTAACACTTTATAATGTTCAGTTACAGCTGACTTCTGACCGTTATCACAGCACCCAAAGTCACAGTCCAATGCTAATAGTCACAGTCGCAGTTCATAAATAATTGCTAACAGTCGCAGTCGCAACTAACACAAAAATCGTCACTGTCGCTTTCACTGTCAATTAACAACAATCACATTCACCATGCCCATATAAACATACAACGTCTCACTAATCACAGTTACAAATAACCATCAGTCACAGTGAGTCACTTTAACAGTCACAAAACCTACTAGTCTCAGTCACGTTCCAATATCTACTGACATTAACGTTCTTTGACTTCGCCACACAGTTGGAGTCATAACTAAAAAGTAACTTTCACTGTCACAGTGTACAAATTCACACTTACAGTCCAACTGAGAGAGTCACACTGAGAGTCATAATCATGTTTACAGTCGGATCTAATTTATACCGTAATTCCTGCCCAACTCCCAATCCACAGACCCTGCAAGAACGGCGGCCGTTGCATTGCGCCCAATACCTGTGAATGTGCGCCCGGCTACGATTGGGAGCGAAAGAGCGGATCGTGTGTGCCCCACTGTGATGCAGCCTGCCTGAATGGTGTCTGCATAGGCCAGAATCAGTGTGAGTGCAAGCCAGGCTATGTCTTGGATGAGCATCAGCGCAACATCTGCCAGCCGCATTGTCCGCAGGGCTGCCCCAATGGCTTCTGCAGTGCGCCCAACTTTTGCATCTGCAAGCCGGGTTTCATCAAGAGCGGCATCAAGGGACGTCAGAGCTGTCAGCCCGTTTAATTTTCGATTGTTTTGCACTTTTCAAATGTCACTTAAATCTACGACCAATTAAACAAACGTCCAATCAGCGCATTAAACTCGTAATTCAACTCGTCATCGTGCTCCTTGCGTCGTTGTCGGCTGCTCAGTTGTTGCTCAATCTGCTGCGGCTCCAGGCACTTGCCGAGGAAGTGCGTCCATCCGGCGGCGCACTGGCAATGCCCATTGGCATCGCAGCTGCCGTTTATGCAATGCTGTTCATCCGGTCCACAGCCGCATACGTTGGGCGTTACACATTTTCCGTAGAAGCCGCAGGAGCTGTTGATTATCATATGGTACTCATGAGTGTTTAAGTGTGTGCGATTCAAGGGCTGTGTGTATGTATTTCTGAGCATTATATTTTGTTTTCAGGCATTTTCTAAACTAATAAATATTTATAGCATTAGAGCCCGTTGTAAGATTAAGAAAATTGTTGCCTCATCAAAAGTTGATTCAGGATTATACTTCAATTGGGTACCAAATGGTTGAATGTTTGTTTCCCAGAGTATATTTTCATATTTTTTTCGATTTATACACTAGCCTAAATTTTTCTCGAATGTTTTCGATTTATTATTAATATAACTCCTGTAAGCACAGCAAGAAATGATGAGTTTGTGTATTTTTCGATTCAGCATTTTGAATTTATTAAAAGTTGCTTCCTAATTTATGGCTCAACTATTTTCGATCTTTCTAATACAAAACTAATTGAATTTTGCTTTAAATTGACTAAGTGAAGGATTTAAAAAGCAACCATATCTAAGTAAAATATCGTTATTTAACAGCACCAGTTGAGTTTAACAGAATATGTTAACAGATCTTAGAATATCGGTGCTTGGGGACTATTTCTTCCAATTAAAATGGAATTAAAGCTTGTTTACAAAACAGCTGACTATGCATACAATGAATTGGAAATCACGGGTTAAATAACATTTTTTTTTGTATAGACTCACCCCTCACACAAAGGCTCACAGCTGTTGCCGCGCAGCTCGTAGCCCTGGAAACAGCGACAGATCCCGGGCGCAATGCAAACCCCATTGCCATGCCCACAATCGTCCTGGCAGACGGGCAGGCAGCTGGTGGTGTTGTCATCATAGCGATAGCCCGCACGGCAGTGGCACTTGAAGCGGGACTCACAGAAGCCATTCTCACAGTTGCTGCAGGGGATGTTGAAGAGGAATTAATCAGGCCCGGTGAGTTGCTGGCAATTGAGAGAGTGTAGCATATGTATGTACCCACAGGTAGCACTCGGCCTCGCAGACATTGCGCTGCCGCCGCTTCATGAAACCGGGAATGCATTCGCATTCATTGGGCGCCACGCATTTGCCGTAGCCGCAGTCCGGCGCACAGATGGGCTGGCAGCCCATCTCTGGGATGCGTCGATAGCCCGGACTGCATTCGCATTTATCCGGCGCCACACACTGCTCATGCGTGCCACAGCCCTTGGGGCAGTGGGCGCGACAAAAGAGACGTGTCTCCGCGTCCAACGTGTAGCCCGCGTGGCAGGCACAGGTGCCATTCAGATAGCAGCGTCCATGTTGGCAGGCAATCGGGCAGGTGTGTATGCAAGCGCCCTGCTCGTTGCGGACAAATTCCGCAAAGCATTCGCAGCGTCCCGTTGCGCGACAGAAACCGTTGCGGCAATTATCTGGCGAACTGTGCGCACAATCCGGCACACAGTGTCCATTGTACGGATCCGTGCGATAGCCCTCACAGCACTGCTCAATGCGTTGATAATAAATGCTGGAGCCATTGCCACGCACCGGCGCCTCCTTGTGCGTCTGAAAGAATATGGCACTACGGAAATATTCGATATTTTCTATGATCATCTGGCGGCACTGTGCGCTATACTTACGGCAGCTCGCGCTGACATAAATTCGGACGCGTTTGACTAAGTGAATCGAACTCGCCGGGTGTGTGTATGTCGCCATATAGCTCCAGACTCGATCGTGACACTGCAGCCAAGGTGGCCGTCGACGTCAACGTCGCTGCCAGCAGCATTAGCAACAGCGGCTCGGTCCAGCTACAATTCCAGCGCATTTTGCGTTGTTCGCAGCTCCAGCTTCATCGAGGGAATGAGCATTTCGTGGCTTGTGCCCCTTGCCAGTGCGGTGCCTTATCAGCTACAGCTCACGCTCAGCTAAATTCTCTCCCTATTCTCAGACGAAGCAGTTCAGGAACTAGAGAGCATTGCCTAGTTTTTTTCTTACGCACAGATCTTTAATCTTTTATTCATGGGTATTTCTGAATATTAAACAAGAGGTTCTAGTCGAGAGCTCCCAACTAGGGAATACCCTGAACCCTCTTTTGACAACACCAAATGCAGATCGGGCTACACGCTCGTTTGAAATAATAAATATAAATTAAAAAAAAAGTTCCCCTGGCAGGTTTCGAACATGCAATTAACCAAATTACTTGCCGCCTTCTCTACTCAACAGCCACACCAGCCAAACAAACAAATTCGACTCGATCTGTGCGGGCACTAGGGCACTACAGTTAAAATTTCAAGTCTCTAGCTCTAATAGATTCTGAGATCCTTGCGTTCATACATACGGACAGATAGACGGACGGACATGGCTAGATCGACTATAGTTTATGGGATCGGAGATACTTCCTTCTGCTTGTTACATAAATTTGCACAAAAACATTATGCCCTAATTACCCATGTTTAATGGGTTCAGGGTATAAAAATACATTCAGGAATAGCCGAGAATGAAATTCTACTTAACTCAATTGATCAATATTTGTTTTGACTTATAATTGTTTGCTTGGCTGGCTTGAGGTCTAGGGCTTTTTATTTAAGACAAAATGAAAAGAAATTTGGTTTGAATTTACCAGCGAGCAGAACATGGAGAATAAAATATCAACAGCACCGAAGAAATAAACGAAACTTCGACTTAGCGAGGTTAAAATATATTGCACACGAAGAGGAGTTGGTATAGATAATAAAAAACGAAGAACAACCAAAGCACAAGGGATCGAGCAACACTGGACAGAGTGGAATAGACACGTAAATTCTTACAAGAAAATAACAATATCAAAATATTATCTTCTGACAAGGATAACAAAGTGTAGAATCTGTACAGTCATAATTGATATGTACCTTAAGAACACATGGAAGGGAAATGTTATTTAGAGCCGAACCCCACAACGCAGTATGAGAATTTTAAGTGTCTTACTGACGTCATACTGACGCCCAATCGTCTTGGCAAAACCTTGCCGTCTGAGTCGCCTTAAAGGTCGGGCAGGGACTAGTCCGTTTGCGACCCGGTTACGGTGTGTCAGTAATCTGTCGGTGTATCTGTTTGCGTGCCTTCCATTCTGTTCGTCAACTGTATGCACTTTGAGGACTTTATGCAGTGTAGAACCGCGTAGGTACCAGGGACAGTTGGTTATCTGTCGTAGTACCCGATTCTGCAATACCTGTACACGTTTATAATTGCATTTAGCTGCAATCCCCCAAATCTTCACTCCATAAAGCCATATCGGTAAAACACAGTGCATATATACAGCTCTCAGCATCAGGTTGTACCTATTATTGTTGAGCCACCGCAGTTGTTGCAGACTGTGACGACATTTATTTACCGTAGCTTTGAGGTGTGGCCTAAAGGTAAGATGGTTGCCCAAGGTGATGCCGAGATACTTAGCTTGTGGCGGCTGCTCCAGCGTAATTCCTTTAAGCTGGATTGGCGGGGTTTGCATCCGCATTGTTAGGGTAAAACATGGATTTGTTGTTTTGAGCGGGCTAAACTTCAATTTCCACCGTTTGCACAAAGTTTGCTTCTACGCAACTTTCGGAGTTAAGTATAAATGACTGCGATGTCATCTGCATATGTCGCAATAATAGCCTTAGAGGGATCTTCCATATGTTGAGAGGTAGGGCTGGGTATATCTGAGGTATACAACGAGTACAGCAGCGGACCAAGAGCACTAGCCTTCCTGCTCTCATAATATAAGTGGACGAGTATGTGTCTCTTACATTGACGTTGAACAATGGATAGCGATGACTATAAAAATAAAATGACAAATAATTAAGATGACTTAGGCGCGTATAACACTAAGGTAGGATCAAGAATAAAAACCGTGTTACACAATAATTTAAGATTGAACTAATATCAAAAGACGATTGAAATAAGATGATGATGATATGGACTATGCATATATGTATATTATGCACATGTTAAGAAACTTGACAGCGGTCTCTAAAAATAACATTAAGAATTCGTTAGAGATCAATGACAAAGTCAACAACGCTACTATCAGGAAACATGAAGAATTAGTATCTTTTGACGTAGTATCCATCTTCCCCAGCATACCAATATAATTGGCACAGTGGAACTATAGCATGTCGAAAAGCTACCATTCTTAGACACTTTGGTAAACAGAGTGGAGAACTCACTTAAATTACTCTATTAATTCAATTCTAACCACCCAAAATGGGTGGTTATAAAATCGGCACTAAGCTGTATGAGAAGAATGAATATCGGAAGCAATATACCATCAAAAAATTGAACACGAAATTAATTAACTATTGACCATAAATGACTAACCGAGGAATATATGAAGAATATAATAATTATTTAAAAAACAACATATCAACATATATAAAAGCCAACAGAATCTCCAAAAATATACACATCTCAAACATATGTATCTCGAATATCGGAACGGCTTATAAGCTCAGACTGGTATAACAGACAAGAAATAAAAGTAGCTCACAAGCCCACGAAAACATCTCAAAAATTCCTTGATTATGTAGAGGCGAAAATACCAATGATGGACAAAAGTAACGTCATTTACAAAATACCATGTGGCGGGGATAATAGCTTCTTTGTAAGAGATATTCACGAAAAGACTCACGCCCGTTTCTAATAAGTAGAAAGGAGACATTGTAAAGTTGGAGTCCCCGGCTTAATAATAACACAGAAATTCGCCCACATTCTATGTAAATTCTTTGAGAATTTCGTACAAATGTGTGAGTAATCAGTTAATACTAACTTAAATACCCTCATTCAAATTATAATTCAACAATTTAGATTTATATATTTATAGCTTATACCAGCATATTCCACCATTAGCTCTCTCTTTATTCTCCCTGAAACAAGTAAGCGGTTTGAGCCGGGAGCTCCCGACTAGGAGATACGCTGAACCCTCTTACCTCAACAGTCACACAGGCAAAAAAAAAAAAAAAAAAAAAATAGCTTCCTCGGTAAGGTTCAATCTCGCAACAAACCAATCTCCTTAATTGGTTTATTTACATGATTTATAGCTATAAGGTAGTAGCGGGGAGGTGGTGATATTTATTAAATTAAAGATACTTTATGTTATGCATATATATATATAATTTTAGAAGCTATATGTCAAGTTTGGTGACTCTAGCTTTTATTATTTTAATTCGATTACTGGGAAAAAGGGAAGGTTATCGAATATAGGAAGCAAACTCGACTTGCGTGGACACTAGGAGGACCTACAGCTGAATGCGAGACTTCAGCTCTTATATGTTCTGAGATCCTTGCGTTCATACATACGGACAGACGGACTGCCGAACGGACAGACATGGCTAGATGGACTTGGCTATTAATGTTGATCAAAAATATATTTACTTTATGGGGTCAGAGATGCTTCCTTCTGCCTGTTACATAAATTTGCACAGCAACATTATACCCTTTTTACCCACTTTTAATGGGTTCAGGGTATAAAAAGGGAAGCCCTAATCGAGTTCCGCTCAGTTTTGCCAGAAAACTAAACTTAATCAGTTGGTTATTATTAAAAAATAAACTTGTGTTTTTCTTAATATTTAAAATGAGATGCTGTAAATCGGGTCTACTATCGAGTACCTTGGTAGTACTTGTTCTGGCTTGCGTCATTTCAAAAGCGACCGCTCAGGACTTGGAGAAGCCCGATACGGAATTTTTAAGCAACTGCGTTAAAGGATGTAGCCTCAACGATTGTCAGAATGGTGAATGCAGTTGCAAGGAAGGATTCTATAGGAAACTAGGTAGCGAGCATTGCGTTGAGAATGTTTGTATTCCGCAATGTTTGGAAAACCAAAAGTGCTCGTATGGCAGTTGCACTTGTGTAGAGGGCTATGAAAATTATGGGGTGGGCGGTGCCGTCAATTGTAGCAAACCAGCTGAGAAGAAGAAAAACAATTGCCCTGAAGATTGTGGCCTAAATGGATATTGTTTGAATACAACATGCATTTGTAAGGAAGGATTCTACAAGAAACTAGGTCAAGAAGACTGCGTTGAGAATGTTTGCATTCCGCAGTGCTTGGAAAATCAAAAATGCTCGAATGGCAGCTGCACTTGTATAGAGGGCCATGAAAATTATGGCGTAGGTGGTGCCATCAATTGTAGTAAGCCGCTTGGGAGCACAGAAATCAGAAATAAATCTGTGAATGTTATAGCACCTGTAACCCACAGCACCACAACAACAACAACAACATCATCAACAACGACAACACCACCCGCAACTTCCACACAGAATCCAACATCAACAACGATAACAACTTCCACAGAGAATCCAACAACCACACAAAAACCGAAAGAAATTACGACATCTGCCAAACCAACACCTAAACCCAAGCCACATACTCGAAAATCTGGCATGAGTCCATGGGCAATTACGGGAATTATTTTTCTAGTGGCTTGCCTAGTAGGATTTGGTGGATTCATGTTATACAGACACAAGCAACGCGGCGCTTACAGGGCTACCTCCACAACCTTCCGCTAGGAAAAATATTAATAACATAAAGTAATTTAATTTGTATGATTTATAATTTTATATTTATAAATAACCATTATTATAAATTGGAAACACTTATTAAATAAATAAAGCGCAAAGAAATCTTTTGGCTCTATGCATACATTTTGAAAGTATTAATATCCCATATTGGGCTTGTGAGTATTTCAAGTCAACTCCACATTCTATGTAAGTTTCTTGAGATTTTTGTACAAATGTGTAAGTACAATTTAATAATTTGGATTCATAAAATTCATATTTTTATAACCTATACCAGCCTGGTCCACTGTTAGCTCTCTCTCTCTGTCTCTCTCTCTCTCTTTCTCTCTCTCTCTCTCTCTCTCTCTCTCTCTCTCTCTCTCTCTCTCTCTCTCTCTCTATAAATAGGGAAGCCTTGATCGAGTTCCGCTCAGTTTTGCCAGAATACTTAACTTAATCAGTTGGTTATTCTTAAAAGAACTGTGGGAATTATAGTTCCTGTAACCCACGGCAACACAACAACAACAACATCATTAACAACGACAACAATACAGCAAACACAAACCACATCCATCAAAATCTTGCATGAGTCCATGGGCCATTACTAGGATTATCTTTTTAGCGGCTCGCATGGTAGGATTTTGTGGATTCATATATACACCAGCAACGCGACGCTTAAAGGGCTACCTGCACAACCTTCCTTTAGTGAAAAAAATTAATAGCAACAAGTAAGAGGTTCTAGTCGGGAGCTCCCGACTAACCGACTGACCGCATTACTTGCTGTCGACTTTACCCAACAGCCACACCAGCAAAAAAAATAAAACAAGTAAGAGGTTCTAGTCGGGAGCTCCCGACTAGGGGATACCCTGAACCCTCTTATTCCAACACCAAATTAATAAAAAAAAAAAGTTCCCTTGGCAGAGCTCGAACTCGTAACTGACCGCATTACTTGCTATCGACTCTACTCAACACCCACACCAGCAAAAAAATAAAAAAAATACTTTCCCCGGTAGGGCTCGAGCTCGCGACAGACCGCACCACTTGCTATGCCTCGTCTCTAGCTCTTATAGGCTCTGAGATCCTTGCGTTCATACATACGGACGGACAGACAGACAGACGGACATGGCTAGATCGACTCGGCTGTTGATACTGATCAAGAATATACATATATACTGGAGTCAAAGATGTCTCCTTCTATGCGTTACTCTCTGCAAGGGTATTAAAACATTATAAGTTTGAAGTACGTGTTAAATTAATGAAGTGCAAAGACATTTTTTGTATCTATAAATACAAATTTAAAGTATTAAAATCACATTTTCCGCTTGTGAATATTTCAAGTCAACATTGGTAAACTTTTTTGATTAATATCCCGCATTTTATTATGATTAATATTGTTAAATACAGATTATTCAAATCACGCCCGCATATTTTAACAATATAAATTTCTGTTTTATAAAAAGCGAAAGCATTTACTAAAGTTATTCAGTCTACGGCATAAACTAAAGGAAGGAAAACCTTATGAGAGAATGTCATATAGACTCTCAGGGCTTCTGTGCAGAACCGTTGTGTTCTGCCTTATCCTTTCTATCAGCGCCAAGGAATCAAATTCGTTACAAGAAGATGCAAATGTGGATATGAAAAGGTTCACAAGCGGTGCTCTTAAAGCGAATACTGAATGTCAGGCTGGAGAAAGCCGTCCGACTATTGTAGGAATATTAAAATGCAGCCCTTCAATTGCGTTAACAAATATATCAACCCAAAAGACTGTGACAACAACTGCAACACACATCTTACAAACAAGTAAATGGCCACAAAGATATACACATTATACAAGAATACCGAAACCCACGCATCACACTAGAAGACCAAGGCCAACTCATCACACTAGAAGACCATCAAGACCAACACACCGCAAGAGAAGGCCACCGAGACCAACACACCACACAAGAAGAACACATCCCACAAAAAGACCAACGAAACCCACACGTCTCACAAAAAGACCTACAAGACCCACACACCACACAAGAAGACCAAATCCCACCAAAAGACCAACGCGACCTACTCGTCACACAAAAAGACCTACAAGACCCACACACCACACCAGAAGAACTCATCCTACCAAAAGACCAACGCGTCCTACGCATCATACTAGAAGACCAACGAGACCCACAAAAAGACCAACGAGACCTACACATCGTACCAGAAGACCTACAAGACCCACACACCACACAACAAGACCTCATCCTACCAAAAGCCCAACGAAACCTACACATCATACTAAAAGACCAACGAGACCTACACACCACACAAAAAGAACAAATCCCACCAAAAGACCAACGCGACCTACTCGTCACACAAAAAGACCTACAAGACCCACACACCACACCAGAAGAACTCATCCTACCAAAAGACCAACGCGTCCTACGCATCATACTAGAAGACCAACGAGACCCACAAAAAGACCAACGAGACCTACACATCGTACCAGAAGACCTACAAGACCCACACACCACACAACAAGACCTCATCCTACCAAAAGCCCAACGAAACCTACACATCATACTAAAAGACCAACGAGACCTACACACCACACAAAAAGAACAAATCCCACAAAAAGACCAACGCGACCTACTCGTCACACAAAAAGACCTACAAGACCCACACACCACACAAGAAGAACTCATCCTACCAAAGGACCAACGCGTCCTACGCATCATACTAGAAGACCAACGAGACCCACAAAAAGACCAACGAGACCTACACATCGTACCAGAAGACCTACAAGACCCACACACCACACAACAAGACCTCATCCTACCAAAAGCCCAACGAAACCTACACATCATACTCGAAAACCCACGAGACCCACACACCACACAAGAAAAACTCATCCTACCAAAAGACCAACGATACCTACGCACCATACTAAAAGACCAACGAGACCTACACACCACACAAAAAGAACAAATCCTACAAAAAGACCAACGCGACCTACTCGTCACACAAAAAGACCTACAAGACCCACACACCACACAAGAAGAACTCATCCTACCAAAGGACCAACGCGTCCTACGCATCATACTAGAAGACCAACGAGACCCACAAAAAGCCCAACGAAACCTACACATCATACTAGAAAACCCACAAGACCCACACACCACACAAGAAGAACTTATCCTACCAAAAGACCAACGCGTCCTACACATCACACACGTAGAACTACACGCCACAAAAAGCCAACACAACCAACGCATCAGACCAAGAGACCAACGAGAACTACTCGTCACACACGAAGACCAACACGGCATACAAAAAAACCCACGAAAACTACACGACATACAAAGAAGCCGACAAAAACTACTTATCACACAGTCAAGCCAACAATAACAACAAGATGTACAAGCACAACAGCTGAGCCAACATATCCACCTACAACGGACACACCACCCGCGCCTACAACGGCTGAACCAACACCAGAGCCAACATCTCCGGAACCGACAACTCCTGAACCTACAACACCAGAGCCAACAAGTCCGGAACCTACAAATTCTGAGCCAACAACACCAGAGCCAACAACTCCGGAACCGACAGCACCTGAACCGACAACACCTAAGCCTACCACACAAGAGCCAACAACTCCGGAACCGACAACTCCTGAACCTTCAACACCAGAGCCAACAACTCTGGAACCGACAACACCAGAACCAACAACTCCGGAACCGACAACACCTGAACCTACAACACGTAAATCTACACCAACAGAGCTTACAACTTCGGAAACGACAACAGCTGCATCAACGACTCCAGCACCTACAACCCCTGCACCTACTACTCCTGAACCAACCAAATTTTCAACAATAACAGCAGAGCCTTCAACACCAGAAACTACTACGCTAGCACCCACAACCACGGAAACATCATCTACATCAACATCCACAATGCCTCCTTCAACAACTAAATCGACTTCGACAACTACAACAACAGATAGCCCAGTCCCATCAACGACCGCAGCGACATCAACAACGGAGTCCACAATTCCAACCAGCACAAGAATTTCTACTACAACAACCGACTCAACAACTAATTCTACAAGTTCACCAACAACAATAACTAACTCAACAACCCATTTAACGACATCTAAGTCCATAACAGATAGCCCAGTCCCATCAACGACCGCAGCGACATCAACAACGGAATCCACAATTCCAACCAGCACAAGAATTTTTACTACAACAACCGACTCAACAACTAATTCTACAAGTTCACCAACAACAATAACCAACTCAACAACCCATTCAACGACATCTGAGTCCATAACAGATAGCCCAGTCCCATCAACGACCGCAGCGACATCAACAACGGAAACCACAATTCCAACCAGCAAAAGAAATTTTACTACAACAACCGACTCAACAACTAATTCTACAAGTTCCCCAACAACAAGAACCAACTCAACAACCCATTCAACGACATCTAAGTCCATAACAGATAGCCCAGTCTCATCAACGACCGCAGCGACATCAACAACGGAATCCACAATTCCAACCAGCACAAGAAATTCTACTACAACAACCGACTCAACAACTAATTCTACAAGTTCACCAACAACAACAACCAACTCAACAACCCATTCAAATACATCTGAGTCCTCAACAGATAGCCCAGTCCCATCAACGACCGCAGCGACATCAACAACGGAATCCACAATTCCAACCAGCACAAGAAATTCTACTACAACAACCGACTCAACAACTAATTCTATAAGTTCACCAACAACAACAACCAACTTAACAGCCCATTCAACGACATCTGAGTCCACAACAGATAGCCCAGTCCCTTCTACGACCTCAATAATATCAACAACCGATTGCCGAGTACCATCTACAGCCCAATAGAAAAACCTACAACTCCTACATCAACAACAACAGCTCGATTTATGTATAGATTCAACAGTTAGACCAATAATAACAAACAATTGAATAGCCCTGCTATAAACAAACGACTCAACAACCACGCCTACAACAATACCAACAATAACCATCAGCAGCTCCCACAATCAATATTTTGTTTTAAGCGGAATTCAAGGTAATAATAATCAAAAAAAAAGCATTTGCTTAAATGTTTATATATATTTTTTTATTATACAAAAGTAAAAATTATATGGCAATAAAATTCTGAAAGCCGTACAATGATGCCTACATATAATATTTATGATGGTGTTTTGATGCGCTGCCGTAGATTTGTTTATAATACAGTATATATGAAATATCAATTTTATATTTAACAATTTCCATGATATAATTTGCTTGTTGATTTTATTTTTTTAACTCTAAGTGCTTTTAGATATAATGGTTATTCGCCTTGTAAAAGTCGGTCAAATTCTAAAACGAACGTAAAATCTACAAGTGGGCAATTTTGTGCGTTGTAATCTGATTGGGCACCTGCAGAAAGTTGGCGTTCTGCGGCGGTATGATCAAATGCGAAACATGAGAGCCAGCCGATGTAGTATGCTGGTGGTTGTGGTGCTGCTGCTGCTGGTGGTGCGACTGACCATGACGAAGTGGCGGGGGTGGAGGCAAAAAAGCGGTTGCTGTGGTTGAATGCTGATAACGTGGCTGCTGCGAGGCATGTGGTTGGTGTTGTGGATGCTGCTGTTGTTGGTGGTGCTGGTGGGGCTGGTGGTGGTGCTGCTGATGATATCGTATCTCGTCATACAGATGCGAGTCGAGGCTGCCCTTTCGAGACTTGGGCGAGATGACCGAGTAAAGTGATTCCTTTCGTGCATAGGCATAGGGTTGCGTAGTTATTGAAGAGTTATTGCTCGGCGTATCATATAGTTCCGGCAAGGATGCTGCAAGTAATCAAAAGATTAGCTTAGTTTAATATATGGCTAATGCGATGAATAACTTGATATTAGACAGAAAGATATGGAAATCATAATATAATCTATATATGAACCCGCTAATTATTGTTTCTGATTTAAAGTACATTATATTTGGGTTTCAAATGAATTTTAGAATCTTACAGTAAAAGTTAGCAAAGCTAGCAAGCCAATTAATTTTTTGTATACATCATTTTTCTATATTTGATGTAGAGCTTATCTAATTTATACATTTTTTTTTCTACATTTTCGGAAGTCAGCCAACATTTGGCAAAGCAATAATCAAGTTATTCATCGAACCGCCCTCTTCATAGGCGGGGCGACACTTACATACCCTCGTTCGTTTGGGATTGATTAGAAGCTAATATGGCAGGAGGCTTTGGCAGCGGCCCATGAAAGATTTTGCCCAGTGCGCTGGACTCACTGATCACAACCTCGGGATTGGCATGGCCAGTGCCATGCCCCTGTGGAGAACTGAACGTGCCATTGGCATTATATACAACGGCCTCCTTGTGCAAATGCTGACGTCTGTAGACATAGAGGAAGCCCAGTGTGATGACAATCATCAGCATGAGCAGCATGACAATCAAGGTACCCAGCAGGCTAGAATCTTGATCATGAGCGCTGCGGCTGGGATTACTTTCGCCAGCAGCGAAACCGGCAAGATTCAGCTGAGGTGAATGCTCCTGCGAGCCACTGCCGCCGGCATTCGTGATGACATGTATGACCTCGGGTGTTGGAACACCCGCCGCTGCAGCGGTATGCAGATTTTCCAGCAGCGCATTGCTCGATTCGTGCAATATGATCTTGGGCGTGTGCGCGGCCTCCTGTAAGGGCTGTTTGATCAGTATGACCTCCGGCAGGGCACTGGGCGTCACCTGGATGTGGCTGACCTCGGACATGCTGCCAATGCGCTTGGCAATCTTGTTGATGTTGTGCGTCAGATTTGCCATCGTCGAGTTGATGGTCTCCAGCACAACGTGGCTGACATTGACGGCTCCAGCGCTTTCCTTTGCTATGCATTCGCCGGTCTGCGGATGACAACGTTTCTCTGGACAGTCACAAATCTTGCGGCACATGACACCATGTGTGCCAACCGGACACGGCTGCTCGCAGCTAAAAGAATATAAAATATCTCAGTTGCCATACTATACACTACACTCAAAAAAAAACTTAAGAATTTTGAATAAAAATCGTGGAAAAACGCTGCCATTTTTTTTTTTTTAAACTCAAAACTAAATTTTGATTTTTTATCTACATTTTTTTTATCGGGATTTTTTAAACGGGATCATCTTACTTTTGTTACATTTTAAGCTACTATATTATCCAAAAAATAACTTTCAAATTATAAGAACAAAGTTTTTCTCTAAGTGTATTGACAACAATTAACTTACAATTGACCCGCCCAGCCGGCAATGCAATGGCATCCGCCTGTCTTATTGTCGCAAACCGCATCATTTTGACATTTGCATTGATTCTTGCATTCCAGTCCCCAGCGATCGTGATCACAGCCTGATAAGAAAATGGACGGACATCAAACATTTGGCTTGATAGGAATTCTTGTACTCTACTCACGCTGGGTGCAGTGTTTGCCGGTGTAGCCCTCCTCGCAGCTGCAGATATCGGGCATTAGGCAATTGCCACGCCCACAGCCGCCGCGACAAATGGGCCGGCAGCTGGCGTGGCTATCCGAAAGATTGCCCTCATAGCCTTGACAGCAAAAGCGTACTGTGCGCGTTTTGTTGACTCTCTAAAAGAATGGAAGTGGACAAATGAATCAGCGAGAGCAACAAACAGAAAGAGAGGGAGAGACAGTGACAGAGAGAGAGAGAGTAAGAGAGACAGAGAGAGAGAGAGGGTAAGTAAGAATCAACTCATATTGATATGAAGCAAAATTGCATTACATTTTTAACTAAAATGCCATTTTTTAATGATATCTAAAATTAATGAGTCATTTCTAGTGTGCAAATGTTTTAGCTTGTTTAAGATTTTACTCATTTTGTTTACATATATGGTATTTCTTTTAATAATTGACTTAATTGCAGCTAATTTAAAATTTTTATCGTAAATTCGTTTAAGAAAATATAATAAGACTAATTCAGATTCTTGCATATAAATTTCCAAAAGTATAAAATGTTGTCCAATCGCAAAACCAGGCTTTTTCCTACAAGCTTATGCCTTATAATTCGCAACTTGTTCAAGCCGCGAACCGATGGCTAGATAAGTCAAGGCGCAAACTTGAAGTTGAAATGAAAGTTTACTAGAGATAGAACCGGAAAGTTATTTAAATGGCTATACAAACGATCTGTTCAGTATTTTGTGTATCTCGCTGTATAAACTAAGCCCTTAGCCCTGAAAATGGTCACAAATTCCACTAGTTAATCAAAGTTACGCCGCCTGACGTTGCAAGAGTATTATGTGCTCTGCCATATATATTCTTCATATTAGTCAAATGATGATAAATTCAATGAGCGGAATGTTTTGTCACGCATTCAATGCTAGCCCACAAGAAATAATATTTAAATTTATGTACATGTGAGCATTATCAAAGACCGCTTCCTGTTGCGGCTCAAAGTTTCTTGAGTGGATTTGCCGAATTGTTGCTCGGTCCTCAGTTCGCATACCGATTGCAAGCGCGCAGCACTTATTTTAAATATTTTCAAAAATTGTAAATACAAAATGCAACGCTTTCAGTTTTCGAGTTTGCTATTCGGCACCTGGCTTTTGTTGCTATTGACTTTTGCCAGCGCCCAAGAAATTGAGACTTTGACATTTAACGTAGAGTCTGATCATCGACCAGTGTCTACATCAGATCGACCGTTCTCAATTCAATCAACTGAAACAGAACCCACAGCAAGCACAACATCGACTAGTCCAGCAACAACAACCACCACCCAACGACCTAAACCACCCAACCCACCAAAGCCACACGAACTATGGGAAGTCCTTATTGTTGTTGCTACGCTGCTTGTTATTGTAATTATTGTGTATTTAATTTACAAATTGAGGAATCGCAGATCCTATGACGTCTAAACATAAAATCATATAAAATACGAATCAAAACTAATTTTATAATGTCATGTAACTAAAATAATTAATTAAAGCTTTGATTTTGTTGCGACGTGTTTTAAGAAATTAGGCATTCATCATCGTAAGCGTACATATTTATTTTATTGAGAATATTTTTACTATACATACGCAAGCGATACTCGAACTAAAAGTCTATTTAGCATTTCGTACACCTCTTAAAATATTGAACAACAATCAATTGTATGTTGAGCCTAAAAGTAGTCCACAAATATTTATTTAGTCATATTGAGCCAACGTTTATGCAATAGTCTTTAACAAATCGAAACTTGTTGTGCGCTTAAAAATCTGACTTTGTGTAAGAATAGATATATACCTTAAGTATGTATTTATACTGGCGGGTATAACCCGACCTTGCCCGTGGCACGTATAAAAAAAATGTTCTTAAAAAGCTTAAATTTAAATTCTCATACTGCATTATGGTATTCGGCTTTAAATTACGTTTCCATGCATGTGTTGTAAAGGTACTAAATCATGACTGTACAGGCTCCACATTTAATAATAATAAACTTATAAAAACAAATTATTTTGAAACATCTTTCAGACAAGCGTCTTCCGCCAATTTTTCACTGTTTCGGGTGGAATTTGCCAAATCGCTGGAACATGTATTCATTAAGTTTTTGAAAATAAGTTTGAAGCAAATCGAACACAACTTAAAACATCGGGAAACAGGTCTCAATGGACTTTCATATTGATCTTTGGAAATAAATTTGATGGCGAAACGTCACCATTTCCGCCAAAGAGAAATGGATTGTTCGAATAGTATGAAATGAATTTGAATGAATTTCTTTGAAATACCGCCTTAATGAGCACCTTCAGCACATAATATAACTATAGTGAAAATTTCAGCTGCCTAGCTCTTAAGGTTTGGGCTGTGCTTTGATCACCAATCAGTCAGTCAGGCAAAACAGTTTAATAAGTAGAAATTAAATAACAAATTAATAGTCCGTTCTCGACCGTGCTCGAGATAGAAAAGTAAAGGCACTAGAATTTAGAGATCTCAGAAACGAAACCTTTTTATAAAACATTTTAGACAAATGTCAAAACTCAGAAAAGATTTTATCAAAAGCCAATAGACCTTATCAGTAACAATTATTACA